GGGCGCTGGGTTCGAGTTCATTAAGACGCGTGGACAGGGAACATCTCCTTTAAGTTGCAGCTTCCTAGCTTTTCTAGTCCATGAGTTAGCAGCTTGCCCGCCAAAAACTTTGGTGGGCCCGTACGTGGGTCCACGCGTTACAAGAGCCCATTTTAGGGATGGGGTTCTGTAAATGCGTGCACATCAAGTTCCCAAATTTTCAGAGCTGTAGCTTTAGTAAGTCTTGAGATGAAAAACTGGTACAGGCAAATACGCAGACCGCACACACACAAACCCCTCGTCAGTATGCGTTTTCTTCACTGCATAGATGAAAAAAAAAAAAACGCATAAAAAGAGTTAGCTTGGTTTACTGAACTTAATGTTGAGAAAAAGTTGCTGCATATCGCTACAACGGGTGCTTTCCTCATAATATTAATATGCGCAGTAGGGCCATCTTAACGATAGTGTCCAACCGTCTTAGAGCCCCGAATCAATAAGCTTTTACCTTGTCAGCAGACAACATTTGACTGCAAAATCTCAAATCGCGGACTCCTTAATGAGACAGGATGAATAACTGAGACAGACATACTGGAAATTTTTCCCGGAACTGCAGATGCATAATTTACTACTGTTCTGGACGACTTAAAATCACTAAGCTAATCGAAGAACCTAGATTTCTCAGCTTTTTAAAACCATGCCGACTGTGAGAACTGTCCCAGCTTCTTCTGGAAAACTGAACCCATAACTTCGAATTTTTAAAAGTATTAGTAGAGTCTGGGACTCAGAACCTGTCTCCCAACTTCTTTAGATGGTACTGGAAAAAGATTGCGAAAGTGTCCAGGGACTACACCTTTTAATTAGAAGTGGATGCGTGGGAGACAATTTCGTATGTACAAAATCTCATAGCGGAAAAGCATGAACCGGCTGCGTCCATTAATCCACCGTGACGTATCACCACCATAATTACCGACCATACCGGAGAACACAAGGGCAATCAGCACCAACGTAGTATCAAGAAGTTGTTTTGATAGTGGGGAGCGTCATTCCCGCCCGACATTTCAAGGATATTGAGTTGCGAAATTTGCGCCAACCAGTAGCTCTTCTACAGCCATAAGGGTGGTATGCGCTACAATCTCCGACTGGAGATTGAGTGTAGAATCTCCGGTTGGAGATGTAGTGCATACCTACTC